ATATATATAATATAGCTGGTTTTAAAATATTCCCTTATCATTGGTGTACTAGGTCACGTGAGTCACGGAAGGTCGATAGCAGCATCTTCCAGAACTGCGAGCGAGGCAGGGTCACCGTGATTGGACGAGACCGTCTGTCGTCGGGAGTCGAGGCGCCGAGAATTCCGAGGGGCACGCCTTCCCTGCGCGGTGTCTCGGGACAGCTTGCAGCAGACAATAAATAAATGACTGCAAACCAGAGAGCGATTTTTGTTGGAGTTTGGGAGGTGGGGGGTGGCTAGGAAAAGGGGGAAAGAAGGGGTTTGTTGGGTGGTTCCACTTTCTGTTTCTTTCTCTCTCTCTCTTTTTTTTTTAATTTTGTTTTTTTCTTTTTCCTTTCAGAACCTTTGGGAAAAAGGACTTTGGTTTCTCAGAGTGTCGTTTTCCTCATTCAAGTCCTCCTTGGGGTCAAGGTTAGAGTTGTCACTTCCTCGAGAGAGACAAGCACCTGTGCATTGACGACAGTCCCTTCACACGAGTCTTTTGTCATCGGGGGATTCCAGTCAACAATAAAATCCTTATCGCACCCCACCCCCCAAGAGTTTTGGTTCAGTTTTTGTCTTCTTTTAAACACAATGTACAAAAATAGAGCTTCTTCCTTATTTTTCATGTAAAAATATTCCTCTGATGCAGTTCTCTGTGAGTGTGAGTGTGGGCCAGGGCGGCGGCAGGGGGCCACAGTGGGGCAGCCTAGCCGGGGTGCGTGGGGCGGATCCGCCGGGACCTCTTGGTCACCGTGGTGTACTTGAAGGGCTTCTGTAGCTCGGCCTGCCCCTTGGGGTAGCGCTTCATGAAGTGCACATCCTGTTGGTTCTCCCGGGTCTTGGGGCCCTTCCGAGGCCGCCCCTTCTTCGTGAAGCCCACGTACCACCCGGAGTATTTTGCCGACATCAGGGCGGTGTAGTTGTTCTCCAGAACCTTCTCAATGAACACACACTCCTTGCTGGTGCCATCGGGCTGTGGGGAAGAGAGAAGTAGGTGGTGAGAAGAGGAGGGCAGGGGGTTCAGAGCTGCTGTAATGAGGGCACAGGGGTGTGGCCATCGCTCTGGACAGCAGAGGCAACCAGGCCTGTGGGCTCGGACACACAGCACTACACTTTGGCCTCAGTCATTTACTTCCCGGATCAGTGGGGCGGACTTCTGATATGAGCCGCTCCTGCACCCTTCCCTACCCTCTGTTAGGTAACGGACACCCACTGTCATTCCAGAATGCATCCTTTCTCCACTCTTCCCCAGGCTCTTACCTCAGCCCCACTAGAGCAAGAGACCTAGACCTAGCCAATGGCAACATTATTTACCCCTAGGTCTTGGTGATTGGTTAAGGGCCATGCATATGTGACCTAAGTTGTCCAGTCTGAATGACCCTTGAGATCATTTTTCCTTAAAATATATTTTTTTAATCTAAACTAGTTGCTGTCCAATCATTTCCAACTCATGGCAACGCCCCAGATTACAGAGCCGACCTGGGCTCCATAGGGTTTCATGAACATGACCTTTCAGAAGCAGAGGACTTTCTTCCAAGGAGTATCTGGGTGGGTTTGAACCGCCAAACTTTTAGTGAGGAGCTGATCCATTTAACTGATTACACCATCCAGGGATTCCTTCGAAATCCCAAAATCAGAGGCTGATTTCAACGGGGGGGGCCGGTAGGTAAGGCTGAAGCTGAAGTAGCCCTTTTAGCACCACGAAGGGAATGTCTGTCTGTCTGTCGGCAAAGACAACAGAGAGACAGCAAAGCCAAGAGGAAATGATCAAGAGAAACCACGTCCTGATGAACTCATTTGGGCTCTGGATCAAGTTACCTCAGACTTATGTAAGTCAATGTCTCATCTTCCATGAAACCAGTTGCAACAGAGAAGAGTCCCCAACCCACATGCACAAAGCCTGACATGAGACCAGCAGTGCAGATAGCTCAGGCCCATACCTCGGGACAGTTGTGAGGGTGACACGGGACAGGTCTATTGACTTGCTATGAGTCAGAACCGGCTCGCTGGCACCTAACAATACTCAACTCAATTCCACTGTTATAGCATTAAATATAAATTACCTTTACTGTAGATGGTGAGTGCGTGTGAATGCTTGGGGTGAAGTGGGCTAGTGAAACCTAAAAGTGAAAATTGTATGCAGCCAAACTCCCAAGCCTGTGCCATAGGTCCTCGTGGGTTGTCGGGCCGCCAGGCTAACGTGGGAGGCAAGGTATACCAGGCAGCGGCACTAGGTTTGGAGACAGACGTTGAATCGATTCTGAGACTTTTTTTCCCAACTTTTTATTGTGAATCGGGTGAAGGTCTCCAGAGCAGATCACCAGTTTTACACTCAATGACTCGTACTATTGTTGTCTCGCCTCATTCCTCTGACGTCACTCCTCTCACGTCCTCCCTGTGTTTCCTGTTTTCCGTGTCTCCTTTCTAACCGTCTGCCCTTGGACAAATGCTGCCTTTTTTATCATGAATGGTTAGGGGTTCCAAGGTGAGCACCCCTCACTTGGGTTCCTGTTCCCTAGGAGACCTGTCCATTGTTTGGCTGACAATGGAGCCGTGAGGGGTGAGTTCAGTTCCAAACCTGAAGCGGGTGTGTCTCAGGGTTGCCGCCAGTTGCTCTCTGACCTGGTCTTTTGTTGATGATGTAGAGTTATGCTACACGTTTTTCTCCCATTCTATCCAAGACCAGGGGTTCTGGTGGCACCATCAGGGAAGCTCTGGACAGGCAACCGCAGGGTCAGCGGTTCAACCCCACTGGCCACCTCACGGGGCAGGGGAAAATGAAGCTCTCTGTTCCTGTAAAGATTCACAGCCTCTAACCCCTACTAAAGGTTGCTCTGAGTTGGTATCGACTCCATTACCATGGCTTAGGGTTTGGTCAACCCTGGACCTCCTATGTGATCCTTTCAGTTCTGAAACGTCTTGCTTGACATCAGCAAGTGAATTTCATTCTCTAAACCTTGGGTTCCCCCTGGACAGAATGAAGACAAAGACACCAGTCTCATCGAGGTGCAGTGGGAAACAAGCACTTCTACATGAATCTGACACACAGGAGGGAGGGGCTGCTAACCTATTTTTGAGGGGCAGGTGGTTCTGGCTGGTCTGGACAAAGAGGGGTAGGGCGGCAGGGTTTTGAATCTCCTCCCTCAGACAACCCTTACTTGCTCCATGGGGAGGAGTGGGAAACACACGGAGTTGGAAGGCCTGAATTAGCAGCACTCGAGTTTCCAACGAACATCTCCAAATTTAGGCTGGGCCCACTCCCCGTTCCGGCTGGCTGCCTGGCCAAGTTGGAAGCCCAGCGGTCTGGCTGTGTGTGGAGACTGAGGTGCTGTGAGTTCCAGCCTTTTGTTTGAAGTGGAAAACGGGCTGGAGCGTCCAGGAACGTTCACCTTTGCGCAGAGGGCAAGCTTGGGCCCTGCAGACAAAGTGCTGAACTTTGCAGAAAAGGACAGGCAGGGTAAGAAAACACTCTTTGGAGGGCAAGATCTTTCGAGGAGACTGTAGAACAGGCGGGGAGCAGGCCTAGCAAACATCCTGGGGGTCCAGAAGACAGCCTGTGACGGGGCATACATACAAGGAGAGCAGAGGGCAGGGGGGGAGGGGATCCTTGGGTTCTGGATCCCCCACGGTGAACTCTGGAAGCTGTCTGCCTGACCCGAGTCCAGATTCCCCGGTTGGGCTCAGCTGAACAATCAGAGCCTGCTGAACAAAGGCCACACTATGCTGTTTGCCCACCTAGAATACCTGCCACTTCCTGGAAAACTGTTTTCATCCTTCAAGGCTCAATGCAGTGTAACTGCCTCCTCTGGAAGTCCCCCCTAGTTGCCATTTCTCTCTCTAGGCAATTCCTCTTTTTCTATCAAGATACAACTCAAACATTAAACTTGCCTGGGCTCACACACTCCATCTTCTGGGCTCCCTGCCTCCAGAGTCCGTCCCCACTCCAGCTCCTGATTAGCCTGGAGATTCGTGAGATTGGGAATCTTCTTCCTGCCCTCACAGCTCAGCCCAAGGCAGGCACCTCCAGTGAGTTTGTGGTTGAATGGGGGAGAACTTCATAGTGGGAGTGAGACCTGGAGGGGTTTTCTTGGAATTGAGCTGTCTCCAGGACAGTCAGGAGCCTATGAGAGGCCCCTCCTGGGGGAGAGAAGAGGACCAACAAGAAGAAGGGGGAGCCTTGGCCTGCCCCACCTACTCTCCTTCTCCTTGTGCCTGTTCATTCGTTCATTTACTCAACATGTGTTCGTTGCCTACTGTGGCCCAGACCATTCCTATCTCTTCCTTCGTGTCGTCCTCCTAACAATGAAGTAGGATCTGCCTGATAGAAACCAACGCTCAGAGGTGGAGGTGCTTGCCCAAGGTCGGGCAACTTACAAGAGGCAGAGCCAGGATTTGAACCCGCCATTGCCAGTGCAGCTTGCTCTTCCTCTGCCCAATGTGGGGACAAAGACCACAGGGAGAAAGAATATGAAGAGCAGGCGTTAACTTGTCACCCCACTTCCTCCAGGCTGACACAGGGCTGCCCCCTGGGCACAAAGCAAGGTTTAAGGTGGTGCGAGGGGCTAGCACAGTGCCTGATAAACATGCTCAATATTTGTTTGGGTTTGCTTCAGAAGGTTAAGGAGTGGAGTGCCTTTCCCAAACCCCAGAACTCAGGGGTCACTCACTGGGAGGTGGCCATGGGCCCCATGGGGATCACAAGGTCCCCACAATGAGCACAAACAGCTGGGAAGTTCCAGGCAATCCCCTTAACCCCCGGCTTGTCTCCCATCTGTTTCTGCGTAGCTCTAGGCTGCTACTTCTCGAATGCAAAGATTTTTTTTTTTT